CACATACAAACGGTCCAACAGTTCCCACGCAAGATGCCCCTGTGTCTACTGTAACACCTATGGATTGGAGTTCCAAAATTTTTGAGTCTTATTTTTCAGAAATCTCCTAACAAAAAATTTTGAACTAAAAATTCCATCTCACCTTTTCGGAACAAAATAGAAGACACAGAAGAAACATATTTCTTGAATTTAAGTTCTATGGGTTTTGAGAAAAGCAATACCTAGTCTTTATTACCATCAGATAAGAAAGAAAAATTTTAGCAAAAAAGAGCATATAGATCCCTAAATTGACAAGGGAACGGTGAAAAAAAAGAAATGCAACATCTTTGAAAAGTTAAATAATTGCACTACTGTACAGTACCAGACTTATATAACAGCAAGCAGAATATCACCCAGCAAATAAATTACTCTTCTTTAAATGATTTTCTGATAGTCAGAGACCTGTGATTCTCCCTTCCATTTTCACAACAAATTAAAATACCCTTTTAAGACCTTTACTTGTGACAGCAGTTTTCTCTCCCAACCCATGGTCAGGTCCAAATTAACTTTAAGACTGTAATTAATACTGAGAATCACACTTAGCTACTGCTGTCTTCTTGGGGCCTTGTAGTTAATACACCAGTGTTATTTCATTGTCGATTGCAGCTACAGGTGAAAAAAATGCATATTCTGCCGCCTGAAAGCTTGCTAGGATACTTAGTGCAAATAGAAATCAAGTTTAACTTCATTTCTCCATCCCAATTATTTCTTGTTAGGTGTAAACAAAACATGCATAAGATTCCATACCATACTGTGGCGGCTCATAACTGTTGTGCTGTTCCTACGAGTTCGCAACACGTAAGGCTGAAAAACCTGTGAGTTGTCACTGGGGGGGAAAAAAAGTTTTGTGAACCACTTCCTAAGCTGCGTTTTCCTTAAAACTACCCAGCGCTACGGCACACGCACCCACCTCCGGCGCACTGAAAACATCTGTTTTATTTGAGAAGCACCACTTCCACGGAAGGCGCCCAGCACGCCCCTTCCTCCTGCCCACCCGCGCCCGTTCTGCAGCTACAACGCGCGACCCGCCCGCCTCGCCCGGGGCGCTCCCGGCAACGAGCGCGACCCGTTCCGCCGCCGCGCAGCAGCCGCGGCGCGGGGCGAGCCGGGGCCGGGGCCGGGGCCGGGCGGCGGGGCCGGGCCCAGCTCCCGGGGCCGGCCGGGGCCCGCCGGCCGCCCCCCTCCCCCGGCAGCCCGGGCCCAGCTCCCGGGGCCGCCCCGCAGCCGCCGGGCCGCGCTCACCTGAGCCCGTGGATGAGGGGCGCGCTGTTCGACCGCCTCAGCCCGCCCCCGTCGCTCGGGGCCGCGGCGCTCCCCGGCGGCAGCTCCAGGTCCAGCTCCATTTTCTCCTGAGCCATCGCGGCGGCGGCGGCGGCGGCGGCTCCGGCTCCTCCCGCTCCGCCGCGACGCCCATTCACTGCCGGCGGCCGCAGCGGCTCCTCATGCCGCCGCTGCCCCCGGCCAGGCGCGGCGCGGCCGCCCCTACAGGCCCCGCGGGCGGCGCCGCAGGCACAGTCCGGGAGCGCGCCGGGCCCGGCGAGGGGGGCGGCCCCAGCAGCGCCCCATGCCGGGGGCGGCCCGGGGGGCGGCCCCTTCCTTCCCCCCGCCGCTGACGGACGAGCCCCGCGATGCCGGTGCCGCCGGAGCGGAGCGAGCGCCTGGGGACGGACACCCCTCCCCGCCCGCGCCCGCCGCCACCCAGCGCGCATGCGCCGCGGGGAGCCCGCCCCCCCCCTCACGGTGCACCTCCGGCGGCAGCGCGCATGCGCGGAGAGGGGGCAAAGCCGCTCGCCCGCCGCGGCGCACGCGCCCTGCAGCGGCACCGCGCCACGGCGCGGGCTCCCGAGAACCTCCGGGCGGGGGAGCGCGCGCTGATTGGCCGACGGGGCAAGGGCGTGGGTTTGAAACGGCACAGTGGGCGCTGGGGGCATCGCGCCGCGTCAGGCGGGGGGGGCGTGGCCTAAATGGGGCGTGGTCGACCGGGACGCGCGGGTTCGAGCCCGGCCCTGCCGCGAGTCGCTCTCTCCCACTGAAATCACGCAGCCTTCGCCAGCGTTCTGCCCGGCTTTGTATCGCTGCTGAAGAGCGCGCCGCGTTTTTGAAGAGTAAGGAGAATGCGAGTATGCGCCCTTTTCAGAAAATCTGGCGTAAAGTTCATTATGAGATGCGTGATTCCGGTTCTTGGCTGTGTCAGGCTTTGGACTGACCTTTACAATTCCACCCCAGGTGATCAAAATATCTAAGTTTGTGCTTAATGATTTTTATTTTCTCATATTTCCCTATAACAGCAATTGCAATATACACATTTGTCTTTTACATGCAGCGGTCTTCAGGGTCTTTAACAGCACCACGTTTTTTAAAACATTTTCGTTTGCTCCTGGGGAACAGTAATTCTTTTTCCGGTGTGCTAGGGACAGAAACAGTCAAGGTGGAAATGCTAGGATTTCTCATCATTTCAACTTTCTTAGGTGGGAACATGGATACATGAATTATTCTCTTACTCCAAACCAACTGAAAGTAGATGTTCCTAGATAACAGAGTAGAATTCTTGCTTATATAGCTTGCTACTAATTATGGTACCTCCTTGCATTTTTTGTTAATCAAGGCTGATTTGAGTGTGTTCCATTTTTCTACCATCAGAGACAATGCATATATCTCATCAACTCTTCTTGTTGATGCTCAGTTCTTGTACTATACCGACACTATTAACAAAGAACTTTGTGCTTATTAGGTACCTGAGAGGAGTTAACAGCCTCACCAAAGTACATTTTAAATACTTTCAGGAATTTTCAGTCTGTATTTATATTGAAAACGCTGGAGACAAAATTCCTTACCTTGTGTTACTGCAGAAGGAAAATCATTCACAGTCCCATGCCAGTGCTTACACTATATCGTAACCAATAATGGCACATTGTGAGATGATACAGAATTGCCATCAACTCCAATGATAAACAAGAACAAGGTAAATAACCTAAACCTGTCTTTTGCTTGATTTCTAATCATTATGATCAGTTACTGGAAAATTTAGACCTGTTGCTGCAAAAGGAAAAGGCTGTTTAATCACCTCTCGCTGCCACCCTTCACCAAAAGCAACACCACATTTTGAGCTTTAATACAGAACCTGCCCCGTTGTCCTTGTCCAGTGCTTCAGCGGAACCATTTCACACGACAGATGGAGGGTGCCCAAAAGGCAATTCAAGTGACAGTGTCTAGCAAAACTCCTAACCCTGAACAGAAATCTACTCACACATATATTGGCTCTGCTAATACAAAAGCCACCTGCAAAGTCTGACTACATCACCAAACTATGTGAATTTTACTGTTTCGTATTATTGTTATTACATTATGTCCTTGCCACTACGGACAGCAAAAAGCCTCAAATGCTGTGTACCAGGATACCATTAAGAAAAAAGTCAACAATGTCCAAACGTGGCCGAGAGCTCAAAAACATCTGTTTCATGTACTCAAATTTTTCAGTGCCAGGAACCAATATATTAGCCTGCTGCTGCCCAGGATTTATTATAGCCAAGAGAACCTTAATGGAAATTATATATATACAACGGAAAGCAAGGGCTGTCAAGGTGACCCTCAAAGGCCCGAGGAGGGTAATGAGGCAGAGAAAAAGGGATGTGGCTGTGGGAGAGTTGTGTTACGGAACAGAATGAGGTGAGACATGAAAATGATGAAATAACAGAGAGCTGAGTTAGAGAAACAGCGCGAATGACCATGGCAACAGGGAGTAAGAAAGGAAGGAATAGGTTAAACAGAACCTTGGGAGGATACAGGCAAAGAATGGAGATTCAAAGTGGGGAAATGGAGACTGAGAGAATGAGATAGGTGGGTACGGTGATACAGAGGGACTGGTGGGCATGAAGTTATGGAGTGGGCAACAATGTGGGAGATATCTGATAGTGTCAGGGAAATATTCCCTTATCTGAAATAAACACAGCCACACAAAGTTACAAAATGCCATCAGCCTTAGGTAAATTAGTAAGCATGTGAACCATGAAAACAATATTTTAGCTATTATCTACCTTTCTTCTCTGGTTATTTTTGTTCTTAAAGACTGCCTGAAAATCTCACCTGGAATATAAACTGATGAGGAGCTGATGTCTGGGCCAGCAAGGTACCATCATCTTCCTATCTGAGAAGTGGCAGTGGTTAGGTATTAGCTCAGATGCTTAGTTTTCGGTACTTAAAGGTCAGCATTGTAGCAATTAGGAAGAGAGTACTAACGAACGTAGACACCTAAAATATTTACATCTGAGTTGCAAATATCTAGCTACACTCAGAAAAAACTATTTAACTACGCTTAAATGGATGGATACATGGCTACAGGCAAGTATGGGCATTGACACTTAAGGCAGTGCACGAGGGCAGAATTGCTCTTTACACAAATATTTACACAGGGCCTGGCAGAAACTGCTACGGCACGAAAAAATCAGGGTACAGATGTCCTCCACAGCACCCCCCGTGCCTCAGAGCCGAGCTCCACGCGTGTCACCTCGGCGGCGGGGGCCGGGTCGAGCTGCCGGCGTGGGCTCTCCCACACGCAGCAGCCGGGCCAGGCACGCCCGGGAAGGGGGGGGGGGGGGGGGGGGAAGCGCGTTTTTTAAGCTTTCTCACCGCTTGGAGCGGCGGCTGCGCATCTCCGAGCCCGGGGGAATCCAGGCCCGCCGGCAGCGCGGCCCCGGCGGGCAGGCCGCGCAGGCCCTCCCTCGGTCACCTCACCTCGGCGGCGGAGGCTGCGCCTTCCCGCCCCGCCTCACGCCTCCCGGCGGTTTCTGGCGACCCTCGCCGGGGAGGCTCGGCGGGAACAGCCGCACCGAGACCGCAACCGGCCCGCGGGGAAACCGGAGCGGCCGAACCGCGGCCCCGAGGCCGTCCCGCGCATGCGCTCTGCCGTGGCGGGGAGGGGGGGGGGGGGGGGGGGGGGGGGCGGGCTCCCCGCGGCGCATGCGCGCTGGGTGGCGGCGGGCGCGGGCGGGGAGGGGTGTCCGTCCCCAGGCGCTCGCTCCGCTCCGGCGGCACCGGCATCGCGGGGCTCGTCCGTCAGCGGCGGGGGGAAGGAAGGGGCCGCCCCCCGGGCCGCCCCCGGCATGGGGCGCTGCTGGGGCCGCCCCCCTCGCCGGGCCCGGCGCGCTCCCGGACTGTGCCTGCGGCGCCGCCCGCGGGGCCTGTAGGGGCGGCCGCGCCGCGCCTGGCCGGGGGCAGCGGCGGCATGAGGAGCCGCTGCGGCCGCCGGCAGTGAATGGGCGTCGCGGCGGAGCGGGAGGAGCCGGAGCCGCCGCCGCCGCCGCCGCGATGGCTCAGGAGAAAATGGAGCTGGACCTGGAGCTGCCGCCGGGGAGCGCCGCGGCCCCGAGCGACGGGGGCGGGCTGAGGCGGTCGAACAGCGCGCCCCTCATCCACGGGCTCAGGTGAGCGCGGCCCGGCGGCTGCGGGGCGGCCCCGGGAGCTGGGCCCGGGCTGCCGGGGGAGGGGGGCGGCCGCCGGCCGGCGGGCCCCGGCCGGCCCCGGGAGCTGGGCCCGGCCCCGCCGCCCGGCCCCGGCCCCGGCTCGCCCCGCGCCGCGGCTGCTGCGCGGCGGCGGAACGGGTCGCGCTCGTTGCCGGGAGCGCCCCGGGCGAGGCGGGGAGTTGCCGGGGTGTGGGTCTGGCCGCCCCAGTTGCAGCCTCGGGCCTTGCGCCGCCCGCTCTCCGGGCCGGGCTGGCGGCTCCCTTGGTTGCTGCTCCCCGCCCGTCCCGTCCCGCAGCGCAGAGCCGCGGGGATGCTGTGCGGCGCCTGGGGCGTGCGGGTTCCCGGCCTCTGTCCCAGGCGGGGAGGATTTAGGCAAGATACCCTGCTGAGTGCGGAGGGGTGTAAGAAAGCCTAGGAGAGGCGTGCTGTAACTTTATTAAAAGCCGTTGTTTGCTTTCACCGAGGTCTGCTGTGTGTTGTGTAGCCGAGTACAATTTACACAGTATCAATGCTGTGGTCGTTATTATCGATAAAGCAACAAGAAAATAACTACACTAGGCATAGTCACAGCAATAAATGCTTTCAGAATGGTCGATGAAGAAGATCCATTTCATGGGACCTTGAAAGATACAGAAGTTTTACATTTTGTTTAAAGCAATGTATCAGTTGTCCTGGAGTTTTTCTGGATTATACTAATTTTGTTAGTATGTAATACTGGGAAAAACATAAGGAGTTGTGTAGGCAATTTCTCTCTGATATTACCCTCAGCATGTGGCAGGTGATGTTTGCAGGGAGGGCTGGATGTTTGCCATGTTCCAGGTCTAGCTCTCCAGCTGACAGGGCAGGGACAGCAGCAGTCTCGGGCAAGGGCTAGCGGGAAAGCTCTCAAATATGCATGATCTCTTGTATGGTTTTGTGTTTGGGTAAATTTATAACTCAAAGTGCTATTTCTTGCCTCCTCTGGGCTGTTGTGAAGTTGGGAGATGCCCCCATCTGCTATGTGGTGTGGCTACCATCTAACTGCAAGGTGGTCTGCCTGCTGCTACTAGTAGCATATCTGCAGTGTGGGAGAGCATACTGGCAATAGACTTTTTAAAACATAGTATAATACATAAGTACTTTCTGGTTTGGTTTTCTTGTTCTTTCTCTTAAACTTCATGTTTCTGAAAAGAACTAGGAGACCAAGTGATGAACAAATCTCATAAATCTATCATAGCAAAATGGTTAACAGCACGTTAAGTTCAGAGGAAATACTAATTCTTCTCTAGTCAGTCATGACTTAATGTTAAGTAAACATAATTATGATTATTTTACATAATCGTAATGAAACAACTATCAGTTTACATTTCCATGCAGTATTTTGAGTAGCAGTTGTTCCTCAGGGAGATTTCTGAACAGGTAAACTAATTATGTAACTGAGACGAGATGTTTTTGTAATCTCAGCCTTTTATAAGTTGTTTGTTACAAACTGTGAGACCCTTTTCTCCTTAAAAAAGACAGGCATCCCATAACTGTGCTGTAAACAATTTATTTAATTTGGGGTTTGGGCAGTTAGAAGGGTAAGTTTGAGCTCTTACCTTGGAGCTATGCATGCACTATGCATCAAGTGTTTATACAAATTAAACTGAAATGCTATTGAACTAATCTGAGGTGGTTGCAGTGGTTTGCCTGTTAGTTAGGAATTTTCCATCAGAATACTGTTTTTGCAAGATTGCAGCTCTTGGCAAGAAACTTCAGTTTTTCCCAGAATGGCTTTGTTGGGTAAACTGAAACAAAAGCTTTTGCTCTTGAACAGCTTGCTTTTTCTACTCTGCCTCTTGTTTTGACTTCTTCATTAACAGATTTGGTAAGGAGCTTGGAGAAAGAGTTACTGTAGAGAACATTAAGTAGAATATTTTAGATCATAGAAGTTACCTTTCACAGAACTTTAAATTCTTGTTTTCATGCCAAATAAAATTGATTTTTAATGGGAACTGTAAGAATTTTCTGTGAAAGGTAAGGATATTATAGGTTTGTTTGTTTTTTCTCTCCCTCTCTTCTGGTTAGCACTGAATATTGGTCTCAGCCTATGGTAATGTGTTAAAGAATTATTCCAACCTGTTTTCTCCACTCCAACCCTGGATTTCAGGATATACTGTTTGTGTTGTATTTGCATACTAATCAATACACTTATGCTAAGGAATTGTAGCTGTTTGCCTCAGCCAGTAAGTCTCAACTCTAAACATCAAGTCATGGATCCCTTCAATTTCTCCTGCTCTACCTCCTATAAAATGGCAGCTGTTTGATCTCTTGTGGATGTAAACTGAATGCAACTTCTTGTAAAATTGTAAATGATGTCTGGTCATTTGTATTTGACGTTTTAGAGAAAGAGTCAATGCATTCTTCTTGGCAGAAAGCACAGTGCTTAAGCCAATTGCTGTTGGCTTGTATTTCACAGTATAAGCTTTTTTTAATTTTTATTTACAGCTAGATAAAAGCTATCTAAAACTTATGTGTCTAACTTGTGCATTTTAAAGTGGAGTATTCTGATAGCATTGTGTCTTGAAAGTGCTTTATGATTATCAGTCTTCAGAACAAGGGAATACTCTTAGTCAGCATTAGTTTTAAGATACTGTATTTGTGTAATGCTTTTGTTCATCCCAAATTAGCAGCTGAAACAAAAAGATACAGCCCAGTGACTTCTGGTAATTTGGAACTAATTACAATCTTACATTTGGATCTGTTTGCCCATGCAGTTTCTCTGTGATTTTTAGGCATGGGGCTTGTAGGATTGTGGCTCAATGTTTTTATTCGAGTGACCATTAAACTTATTTAATTTCTGGAGTTGCATTCATTAAGTGCTGATCAATGGCTGTTGATAATGTTAGTGATGACCAGTGAAACTTGCTTTAGAAATCAACAGAACTAAAGTTGCCTTGAGAAAGGAGCTCATTTTATATCAAATAACATAATCCTGTGTTATTTACATGGATGAGCTGCTTTCTGGTTAGAAGCATGACTGTGGTCAAAAGTCTTAGAGCTTTAAAAACTGGTTTTACTGTATGTTTAATTTAACCTCTCCCGGGAAAAAGTTCAGAACTTAGTAATGTTTGCAGTGATAAGATTTATCAAGATACTGTATTTTTATTCTATTTTGTCTGTGGCATTGAAGCTGGTTTCAGTTACTGGTCATATGCTGTTTATAAATTCATGCTGTTGAATGACATTCAAAGCAATATGGAAGCTGCAGCCATTCCAAACATAAATTCCCACAGAAGTGATCAGTCTTAACAATTTTTCAGTTACTCTGAAGGGACAAGATGATTAATTAAAATAAATAATGAAGTAGCTGGGACTTGGGGGAAAAACTATTTGGTTTCCACTCCCTGCCAACAAGCTAAAAGAGTTCTTACATACCTGTCTCTTGACTGCTTTGTCTTGAAATGATAGCTGTCATAGCATTTGAAGCTGAGCTTATACTGAGAGGTACTTTTTGATAGGAAGGAAATGGCTTTTGCATTTGACAAGTGTTTCTTTTCACAGCGATAATTCACAGGTGTTCCAGGCTAACGTTCTGCGAACCCGCAGGAACAGTACCACAGTTATGAATCGTCATAGTCTGGTAAGAAAACAATTAGACCAACCGCATTAAGTCCAAAGCAGAAGTGTGCAAACAGGATTAAAGAAGACAATAAGATTGTAGTCTGTGAAACTACTACCACGTGTTTTCAGAAACAAGGCTTTAGACTGTGATATTAATACGCTGTAGCTATGGTGAAATATTATTTATAGACCATTTGGCCTTGGAGAGTACTTACATTTCATTGTGATCATAACTTTGTTTTTTTCCTTTTGTGAAAGGAATTTTTGGTCAGTCTTTCGTGTGTAACCAGAAATGTAACTTTTCCCCTAAGACAGCCTTAAGAAATAGGTAGGCACAGAATGACATCCAGCTGCATTCAGTTGATGATTAATGTTTTGGAAAAATTAAGCTATGTTGGGGTGGGAGGGGAATAGTATCAATTCTCTTTTATGTATGGGAAACAAAGTCCCTGTAATGCTAACAGCAGTTATCCTGTTTTTCTTAGTTACCTTTTGAAGATGCTGTAGAAATAATTTGTAAGCTCCACGTTAATGGTTGAATACTACTCTCCTATTTGCTTGACTGATGCCCCTTAGCTAAAATTCTGTTTTAAAATCAGGACAGACAACTATTTCAGCAAGCGTTTGCATCTGTAACAGAACGGGCATACTTAAGTGAAAGTCTGGGAAGGGTGGTGGAAAAGCATTTCTCCTGCTGGGATATGAAACCTGATAGAATGTATCATGTTAAGGAGTTCTTTAAACAACAGTTTCTTTCTTCGTGTATATTTTTAGAGTGGCAGCTTAGAGTAAATTTGTTTATGCTTGTGGTCTGACAAAAGGAAAAACAAACAAGGGTGAAAGCTCAGTTTATTGTGTTTGCTTCTTGAAGATCATCAATTGTTGGGCAAAAAATGCTAATTTAGGGTGCACTGCCTGGAACTTGTTGGGAAGCAGGAGCTAGTTTGCTGAAGGACTAGCTCTTCTGGCTGTCCCTAATGTATGTTGCAGCCTTCTGGACTGAACCAGTGTTCCCATCTCCATGGGATGATGTTCTTAACCCCTCACCTCACTTTAAGATTATTAGAAAACATCCTCAAAGTTAACTTTCTTTTTGTCTCCTGGCTGACCAGGTGCTGACAAAACACAGTTGAAATTTTACTTATGCTAAAAATCAAGTGTTCCATCAACTGCTAGATCAGTGTTTTGTCCACTTTGAAATATTTCTTTGAATTATGGTCTAGTTTGTAGTTCTAATGAAGATGGCAGTGAGGATGGGATTGGAAAGGAGTTTAGGGATTGTTTCATCATTCTGTGGTCTTAAACCAGGATGATCCATAGAAAAATGATTATGTGAAAATAATTAAACTTTCAGCAGTAAGGAATCTAAGCAACCTCACGTGGTATTCTTGCTATAGCAAAGAAATAAGTGGAGTTTTATGATGTTAGGGATATTCTAAGGAGATAGATGACATCTACTTTGGTAAATTACATTTTACAGTAAGTAGGTGATAAAGTGTGCTTCAAAAGTCACATTTTTGTATTTGAGAAAACAAATCCAAGTTTTATTGCAGTGTAAGCTCTAATAAAGAGGGTGGAAAGATTCAGTAAGTGACTGAAACTTTGTTGAGTTAGTATAAGTACAGCTAAAATTTTATGTTTTATTAAACTTTGTGGAAAAAAATGAATAGTATGTCTAATCTGTGTTGTGTTCACTGTCATGGGAACAATGGGTGTTGCTAAAATGCTTGGATAACCTAAGGTCATACTCTATTGAGCTCCATCTTCAGGGCTGTTGTTGTCCCAGTTGCCCAGCTGAATTCTAACATATTGGGGTTTTTCTGAGTAGCTTCTCTAAGTTGTAGACTCCAACTCTTTTATGATGACTACAGGGGCAGCTCTGCCATCTGCAGTTTTCTGACACTACATGTAATTGCCGAGGAAGGGTCGGCTAGGCTCAGTATCCTCTCTTTACTTGCTTCCATGAGATATCAGTGGCATCTAGAGAGTAAAAGTTTTGGTGTTTTTTGTGTGGTTGGGTTTTTTGCTTTGTTGTTTAAGCAAAGCATTTTAATCTGTGGATAGATGTTTAAGTACTGTTTCAGCAAAAGTTGATTTTATAATTATTTTTTTTCAATTGTGTTTGTTTTTTTTTTTTTCAGCTAGGTAAGTTTTAAGAATTCGCTGCATGGCCTTACAAAGGCTTGTGTTGGCAGAGGCCCGGAGCACTGCAGGGTCAGCAGTGGAAGGGGCAGAGGTGCCAGGGTGGGTGCCAGCCTGCTTTGGCTTTGCTGCCGTCGAGACTGGCACTTCTGAAACTTTACCTTCAATTAAAAAAGGCTATTGAACATACTGGAGAAGGGGGGAAGGGGGGGGTGTTTCTCTTCCGTGTGATAGTCCAATGGTTTGTAATGTTTTTTATTAAGCTTTGTGCTCTTAAAACATTGGGGAGTTGAGTAGCATAATTTTAACAAATGAATTCAGTTTGCTTTAGCAAGTATCCTTGAAAAGTGACTGAGGTTTCTTTTCACAAGAATTAAATCAAAGGACTATGAACAGGGGGAAAAGTGAGTTTGAAGCATTGACAAAGCCGGGATTGTGACTGATTGGAGATGAGATGTAGGATCCTCACAGTTAGTGGGTTTAGTTAGTGCATTAGATCCTGCAGAGAAACACTTAACTGTCTTTTTGTAGTTTTTGTTTTACACTGTGAGCCACTGGTTTTGTATGTATTATATTAATGTCAAACCTTAAAGCATGTGGATTGCAGTCATAAAATTAGAATATAATGAGTGGAACAAATGCATTTCTGCCATGGAGCGACAGAGTAAATAGGCAGGAATGTACTATTGTCCAAATCCTTTTCTCTGTGTGAGAATCAAGGTCAGCTCAAGGCCCACATTGGCTGGTACAGCTTGGAGGAATTTTTATTAGGTGCACAGAATTTTTGAGAGCCCAGTAAAATAGTAAAGCTGACCCGAACTGGACTTCAAAAATTGCAAATCAAGACATTATAGCTATTAGACTTCAGTAGTAGATATTATGACTAAATTCTGGCACAAACATTAGACATCCTCTGTGTGAGCCTGATGTATCTTTTGTGAGAAGAAGGGTGTGATGGTTTTTCTAGAGGGAGGATTCTGGATATATGAAGCGTTAACAGTTGGTGATAACTTACCTTTTGTGTAAGGCAGCAAAATCTTTATATTCTCCATGGCACTGATTAGAAGATGGTGCAGCAAATGGTTAACCGAATGTTTGTTAGTTCTCTACCTTTAGCTCTAGTAATGCTTTGTGATGCTGATGAAGCCTCATACTGCATAAAGTATCTAATCACTTAGTAATAATGTAACCCTTACTTGCCATTTTAAAAAGACACTATTTTTTGGAGGAGTTGTCAGTTTACAGAGAAGTTCTTAAACCTCTGTTCAAAGCTTTAGCTTTGAATTTTTGATCCTTGAATGGGTTATGACAAAAGTCAACTGAGGGTCAAACATTTGAGGGATGGGAAATATATGAAAGGAAATTACATTTTGAGAAAATAATCACTTTTAATTACCTGGGTTTGAGTATGCAGTTTTACATCATAGTATTCCAGTGAGATCTTGTTGCAAAACTGACAAAATCAACAGAAGACGGTCTTTAGTGACATCCTCTCTGATTTCACCCAAATTGGTCAAGGTCCTGAGAAACCATAAGGAAGGTATTTAGCTCTTTGTTAGCCTTCTAATAGCTGATTTTTTTTTCACCTGTTAAAGTACACATAGGCAGACAACAATTCAGAAACCTTTTTGCACAATGTGTTGTTTTGGCTTTTTATTTTTAAAGGTTTTATTGGGGAGCCTTCTGGAACACTTCTACGGTTGCATAAATATTTTCATTTATATTCAGGGTGGCAGTGTGCTAGCTAAAAGCAGCTTAATTCTGTAGAGAAGGCTGTGAGTTCTAGTTGCCCAGAAATGAAGTGAAGGCTGATACCAGTTAGCACCAGTGAGCACACAAAGCAGTTTAAAATACATACTGTGTTCTTGCAATTAACGTAGTTTATATATACTGAGAAAGTTATAAATGGTTTGGGGTTTTTATAATTAATTTTTTGTTTGTTTTGGGTAGCACTATAGATTGATTACTAACATTCCTGCAGCTTTCCCTTCCTTCTCCTGTAGCTTCTAAGTGTGTTTCAATTATATATGGTTTTGTTTTGCAGTTTGTGCCATCATCTCCTATCCGTATTCCTAGCAGCCGTCTTCATCAAATCAAACAGGTAAGCACAGATTTTAATTTTTTTGAAATTTCCAATTTTTTATAGATGTTTGGTTTTTTAGAGTGTACTTTGTAGTACAGAGTCTGCTGCAGTCTGTCACTTTCAAGGCTGTATCTGATCTGCAGAGTTCTAAATTTCGGAAAGTAGAAGGCATCTTATAGTGAGAAGAAGATTTGAGCAGAAAGAGAAATCTTAAAATGGACATTTTATGAAGGAAACCTTTAATGTAAACCCTTAGGGTAAAGTTTCACCAGGTTTTTGGCAGCAGTGCCAGCATAAATATTCAGGACCAATAACAAAGTGTTCCTTAACTTGTGTTGGCACAAGACTTTTGCACAGCCAGAAAATGAACTGGATAAGGAAGCACTCTGTCCAAAAAAATAGTTTGGACTCTTCTGGCTGGGCTATTTTTCATCTGTATAATTTTCTTACCCAGATCACTGGACTTGTGCTGTCACAGCATGAGCAGAGGGGGAAGGGCACCAGAGCAAACACTAAGGAACGGAGAAGGGGTGTGGCAAATAGCTGAGTAGGCTTAAATAGCACTGCTACCAGAGAGCAGACCGCAGTCTAAAGACTCCAGTTTTGAAATCAGCAAGCTCAAACTCTCGTGGCTCCTCCATTTTAGATGTCGACTTTTTGACAGTAGCATGTTAATAAAATCGGCTTGAAAATGCTTCCTTTTTTTTATATGTATTTTTTAGCTTGCTAGTTTTCAGTGGAAAGGCTTGATTTTAACAGGATGAAAAGTAAGAAAACTATTTAATGCTTCAGACAGCATTTTCAGGGTATGATGTCTGAAGTAATGGAAAGCACTTTTGCTTCCCACCTCAGACACTTAAGGTGCACTAATGAAAAAAAGAAACCTGCTTGCTTTCATTATGTAAATAATTTACTGGCTTAAAGAGACTCTGAAGCACTCAAAACAATTGTAGAGCTGTTTTTATCAATATAAAAAAGCTTAGAATTACTGTGTAAATGACAAGAGCAATGTGATGAACTACTATGGCTCCGTTGCTATATTACATGAAGTAAAGTTTGATAATTCTATTTTTCTGAAAATAATTCTGTATTCATAATTGTTCCATAACTTTATTAAAGTGAACAATGACATTTTCCAATTTGTGTTTGATCATTAAATTAACAAGTTGAAATTCCGTGTTCTGTATACTTATTGGCACAGATGGGAACCTGTGTAATCACAGGTGTATCTCTGATCTCCTTCAAATCTTAGCAAATAATCATGCAGTTAAACTATGTTAGTAAGACCCTTCCCACATATGTTGAAGATTGTGAAGATATTTAGTTGAACTTTTTTTCTTGAACTGTACTGAATTAAGGAATTTGCTAACAGACTGGACAGCATTTAGTTAATTTTAAGGAATGGTGTCTACCTAACAGGAGATTGAGTCAAGTTTGTACTTTACCTTCGTGTTAATGTTTAGTTTAATTTTGCATCTTTGATCCATTTTAATAATACTTTATGGATGTTTTAGAAAAAAAAAAAAAAAAACATAAAATCCCAAATTAATTCTGTACAGTGCACTCTGTTGCAAATGAAATGCTGACAAGTGTATCATTAGTTACTAATACATAGAATAAGGTAAGAATCCAGCCATGCTTTTGAGGATTATCTGTACTAGTTTCCACTTTTAAAAATACTATCATGCAAGGCTCCTAAAGATACTCTAGCATGTGCAGAATTTTTGCTTCATATTGTTCGGTTTTGTAACTACCTCTTTGATAGTAATGAAAATAAAGCTGCTTGAGAAAAAACCAGCCCCCATAAGTACTTCTTATGTGATGGTGTCTCTTGCTACACCTCTTTCCCATCCTCTCCTCACTCCTTTTGATGTAGTGAGAGCTTAAGGTTATTGTTGCTTAACTGAGTTGAATTAAATTTTCCATATACCAAAGTGAAATGAAACGAGCTTTTCTGATTTGCTGTATCAAAGTGGGTTTTTTCTTTTAATTTTTCATCTGCTAATCTTTTAGGAAGAAGGAATGAATTTGATGAGCAGAGAAACAGTACGTGAAAGGTAAGCATTAAGGCAGACTAGAAAACTTAATGTAGTCCTCTGTGGGCCTGGGACAATACATTTCTTTTCTTCTTTATAGAGAAGTGCAAGTAGCAATGCAGATGAGCCACTCATGGGAGGAGAGCTTGAGCCTGGTAATGCATTCATGCTTTAATTTGTGTTTCTATTATCAGTATCAGGACACTAGAGACTCTCTCATGTCAACATTTTCTTTTATAGTTTGACCTACAGTTAAGGTGTCAGTATATCACTGCTTTGATCAGCAATTTTTTTTACACTAACAAGGCATAGAATTATCAGTTGTTCGAGGATACATGTGGGTTCCTTGGGCTGGTTTGTCAAAAGAAAATTGCATGGATGTCTGCCTGTTCAAATTTTCTTCCATGTCCTGATACTCACCAAATAATATTTAAGGCTTTTTTTGTTGTTGTTGAGCATAAGCTCATAAATGGCTACCTAAAAATTATTGATATGATGGAGGATAACTTTGGAATCCTTTTCAAGTCCACACCAATCAGTCCTTTTCGTGTTAAGGTACTTGATTATAAAATTAACTGTATGTACTACTTACAGAGCGACAATGACTTTGAAAAATCATCCTCACCAAAGCAAGTAGACTTTGTCCCAGTTTCTCCAGCTCCTTCACCTACCAGAGGAATAGGGAAGGTGAGCAAACTGTGTAGTAATAATGGTTTTATTTTGAGTAGTACTAAATAAATTCAACCAAATTAGTAGCAAAGGATTCAGCCACCTGCTCCTTTCTACCTCAGCTGCCAACAAGAAACTAGAGTAAGCAAAAAAAAAACACCTAAAACCCCAAACCAGAAAATACCAGCTAGCAGTTGCACATCTTGTGGATGTGCATTGCTGTGAAGTGTTCAACTGTTAATTTGTGGTTAATAAACCTTATTCTTGATGTGCCTTCCTCTTGGAATATTAAGGGACATACATTCTTATTTTATGGACCATAGTCTGTTTAACCAGACTATAATAATAAATAGTTGTCAACTTGCATGTATTCTGCATGATAATTGAACCTGTCCCATTTTTAATTATTTTTTTCCCCTCAGTAACAAGAAGTGGTATCTCAGTATATCCATCCATATTGACTGGTTGCTTAAATCAATGGAGGGTTGTTTATTTACCTGTGATAAAGATCAGTTATTACCATATGGGTGTGGTACAGTGTTTATAGGTAAATAACTCAAACTGTTTTACTCTCAGCAATGTTTCTCACCATCTTTGCAAAGTTTGGTGAGTAGCAGTGGATTGCCTCCAAGTCCTAGCCCAAGTCCAACAAGGCGATTTTCAAGGTAACTACCAGATCAGATCAATAATAGAAAATTGGCATAGCTCGTTCACAGTAGGCTTATGAAATATCAGAATTCGTTATATGCATAATAGACTTCTGATCAAAAATACAACTTTATATATATATTCATGTAAACTTTAAGTTTTACAATGCTCTAAAATATTTCTTAAAATTCTCAGGTCGTAATATTGGGAGAGTGGGCTGCATTGTGCATCTGTGTAGTCTCTGTGTTACTCTTAATCACGTCTTAAGTATTTGAATTGAATTCTAAGGGGGGGGGGAAAGCCAAACAAAGAGTTATAGGGTTTGTTACTGATTCTGGTTTTAGTTGCATTGGATGTTGTTTTGAGTGATGTGGGCATACAATTAAACTTTATTAGGCCCTAAGAGTTCAGCAAAGCACTGCCTGCCAGCTGAGAGCTAGCCAGTGCCTAGATGTGAGCTTTTAGACTGCCCCAGCTGTGAAATTATGTGACTAAACTTTCTCTGTTAAGGTCTGTCTTCAGGAAAAAAAAATACTTTAGATAAGCTGGTTTAATGCTTATTTTCTTAGTGTTTTCCACTTAGTAGTTTATCTGAATATCTTTTGATTCTTTACATGTTTCCAGGCTTCATTTATTAATGGCAATATCAGTATAGCATATGCCTTCTTTTAGCAGGAGAAGCCAGAGTCCAATTAACTGCATTCGACCAAGTGTTCTTGGGTCAATAAAAAGAAAAGGTACAGTATTTGGTTTTGGCTAATATGCCAATGTGCTAATTTTATAATAATTCACACAGCTTTCCTCATAATTCTGTTCAATTGGCTGATACTTCAAAGAGTGACTAGAAATAGACGGTATTACAGATGACCAAACAAATGGAACTGTTTGTAGGGATAAGACAGACAGATAAATTAGGTTTTAATTTTCCATAAAACTAATAGTTGTTCTAATGCCTCTCCATTGCTGTAGTCATATGGATCTGATAAGAAACTAATGTAACGTGTTAAATAAAACAAGAAATACAACTACTGATATATTTCACAAATAGAAAATTCTGAAAGCCCTGGCTAACTAAACGCACAGGTACTGTAGATTTAAAATCACCCTTCAAAACCAAAAACTGATGCAGAGATCTGGTGGACACAGCTCTACTGGGAAATGTTTCTCTATCTCCCTACATTTTTCTCCAACTTTAACTCCTGGTTATCTTACTGCATCTGTTTTTATATCTTCATGTTTCACCTTTGTAACAGAACACTTCTGGCACTGAGACAGCTTTTGAAATGTTTTTATCTGAGTTTTGTCATAGCATATTTAAGCATATATCTGTCCTCTCCTAGTGTGTTTGGAAATCAAAGTCAATAAATAAGTTTAGTGATAATTCTGGACCTTGTTTTTATTGATTGCAAGAGGAAAACAAGCTTTCCTTATTGACAGCTTCTCTGCTTTGGTGAAGCTATTCAGTGAACTGCTGGCTGAAAAAACTGAACCAAAAAGTTATTCTTCACTATTAAAGAATAAATATCTGATACCTAAACCTCACTTCATAACCTAGTAAAATTTCCTGAAGCTTGGACTAAAATGTTTCCAAGAAATAGACAGTCTTTAAAATTTCAGCATTGAAAATTCTGTGTTTAAATATGAAGTAACACTCAATCTTTTATAACAAGTTTGAACCTCTACTCTGTTTCCTCTGTAGAAGTACACTGCAAGTAGATTTTAGTTCAAATGAGTAGTAATTTTTATCACTTCTCTCTTACCAAAGGCATAACAGAGATGGAAGATCATCCAAAAAGATTATTCCAAGGATCCACCAACATGCTCACCCCTGACGTTTCACATCAGGTGGACCTTGGGGGATGGTAAATGCTGTGCTATTTATTGTGTTGATTTCATCAGAAGGTTTACATGTCTTTTTTCATCTGTCATGCCTGAAGTTGTTTGGTTTTTTTTCGTATTGATACAGACATCCTGTAATTTTGAAGCACTGAAATGATCACAGTAAACAGGTGGTAATAATCACTACAATTTTACAGTTTCTAGGACTGACTGTTAACATGTCACGTATATGGGAGTTGAGCATGTTTAGGAGAAGATACCTCATGTCTGGCAATTTTTGGAGTCTAGTTTCAAGTTGCAATCCAGTATGAATGCTAACTGGATTAGGGATTTTTTTCTTCTGTTTTTTCTCCTTGCTCTTAGTCATATAGGGAATTTTAGTCTGTCTGACCCTCCGTGCTGAGTGGAGATAAAAAGTACTATGTAAAAAATGGTAACAACTTGAAATAGCAAGGGATTTTGATACAGTATTTTAGTCAAGAGGTTGGTAATGCGTAGGGGGTGCCCACACAACTCCCAAGACAAGGTTGTTCATGGTACGTTTGTCCTTTTTGCCTCTCAACCAACGTACATAGCAGGGCACAAGCTTTGAGCCCATCACAGTAGCAATAATAAAACAGGTGTTTTAAAGGTAGTTTAAAAACATACTTTTTTCCACGCCCTATTCATATTAGGCATAGCAGTGGGGGTTCAGTTGCTGCATCTTGGTTTAGGAGATGGTAATTTTTAAAAGCACTTTGATATGATCACTGATAATAGATCATCTATAGTTCTGATTTGGTGTCCTGTGAAATACGTAATGAATGGTACAGCTGAAGTATGTCCAGTTTATCATCAGCTCTCCTGTCAAAAGAGGACTCTGGATACGTGTTAGCCCAGGACCTTGCAGGAGATGGGGGGGCTAAAGGTTGCAATGAATTGCTCAGCCCGATGCTTCTAATCTGCATGCCATTTCTGGGTGAGCTGGAGGAGGAAACTGGCAGGATGTTATATGTCTGTTTGGAAGTGACTGCAAGGTGTGGTCTGTTTGGAAGTGACTGCAAGGTGTGTAGTCGCAGATTTATTTCAAAACATAGAGCTTACTGTTCCTTCAAAGATGTACTTTTGTTTTTAAAATGGCCTTATAATGAATGGAAGCAAGTATTTGAAATTTATCAGAAAGAGTACCTCATTGCTCATATTGTGATGTGACTCTGTTTTCAGTCTGTCTTCACATGCCCTCGATGACAACAGAAGCAGTGCAGGCTCTTCCTGTGACTCACCAGCTGAAGTCGGCACCAACACAGACTCTCCGGTCTCACTTTCTGACTCCAGATCTCCTTTTTTACCAGTAGATCTTACGGCTAAGTTACCTATTAATTGAGAAGCAGAAGTCTGCTAATGGACACCAAGAAACAGGCTGGATATCAGTAAGACTTTCTGTTGTGTGTAACTGATTCTGTTCCTCATAGGAACTTCCAGAAATGTCATTATTTCTAGAAAACTTCCAGAATAGTTCCTTGGGGAGGAATTCACGTTTCTAGTGATTTGTATGACATTTACTAAAATACAGTAAGCATTTGAATTGCAAACTTGTTTGATGCTCTAACATCAGTAAGCAAGCTGTTGATTTACAATTGCTGAAGTCTTGTTGGTATAAGTTACAAATACTATATGTACATTCTGCTTGTGGAAGACTTGGCTTTCCAGCAGCCAACAGGCAGTGTCCTCACTAATATAAAGTGGTGCTTATGTAGTAGCAGATAACCTTCACATTTGTCCTCAGTCCGAAACCAATGAAGAAGCTTACTAATTTGTTTTTATTCCCAGAGTGTTGGATATTTTGTACTTTTTCAGATAAAAGGGGGAATACTAGGGGAGGGAATTGATTCCTGTGTTGTATTACAATTGGCTGTTAATCAATTCTGTGTTCTAATAGATGTCAAAAGAACAAGTTGGTGAATTGTCATCTTAAATTTATATGTTGGATTTTATTCATGATCATGACTGTTGTTGTGACTAAACCCAAATTAGGTGTGGAACATTATTCTGGGGTTTTCTATTGTTTGAGTTTTTTCCTTCCCTGTTTAGCTGACGTATTAGAGTGGTAGATGCTCTGTTACAGGCCTTTTCATAGGGAAAAATAGTATTAATGTTTGGAACAAAACACTAAATCCTGAGGTTTTCATATTTAGTACTTCAGAAGTGCATTATTTCAACAGTATTCGTCCTCATATGATTTTTGTTGGACAAATCCAGTGGGGAATCTTGATTGCCTTTTTGTTGCAGACTGAGGTGATCAAACGTATAATCTCCTGATGTCACTTCCTCAAACAATGGCATCAAGTTATTTCTGCTGTTGAAAACTTCAGATGCTGATCAGAAGCCTGGAATGTGATAATCTGAGATGTTTCGGGATTCTTGTGTTCTGTTTGAGAAATCAGTGGGTTGAGCTATACTGATCTCAACTCTGAAATTCCCCAAACAGGAGGAAAAAATTTGTGAACCCCGCCATAGACAGCCGTTTCAGATTTTCCAGAGGCAACCTCATTTTGGTGTTTGACTCCTGTTTGGCAGTTGAACTTCCCCAGCTGGGTCCCCATTTGTACATGTGTAGGCATCTGTGCTATGTGGTTTCAGGCCTTTTCTCCAGGGGGGTTGTTAGTGAAGCAAAATGTTTTATTTTTAAACACTAAATCTTTGTAATGCGTAATAAAGTGAGAAAAGTATGGAAACTTCCTCGAGTAGGAGAAAAGCCCGCTCTGAACTCTGCTGTGAAAGATTCACGCGATTGAAGCTTTGACTGACAGCAGCCATCAGAATTAGAAATGGGTGAGTTGGAGTGCGAAGACCTGGTGACCTGAGGACCAATGACCAGTTTCTGTATGTCCTTATTGTAGAAAGAAAATAGAATGTATTTAATAGTTTTACTCGGTTCAAGTAAGATACGGCATGGTTTACTTCTGATTTCATTCCTCTTAAGTTATTGTAATAGTCAACTTCCCGATTGCCGTTCCTTTTTAAATTCAGACTGCCCTTCACCCCTGTGGCAGATGGACAAGCTTGTGTTTAATGTCTCTCTGCTCTCTGTCTAACATGGCGTAGTTTCATTCCGCAATTTCAAGTACGTGCCAAAGAGTTGCTGTGCGTTCACTCTTGTGGTGGGGCAAGACTTTTTAAAATCTTGCTGATTTCTTAAGAATGAACCTCCTGGTGTGTCTTCCAGTCTTTTTTAAAAGATGCATCAGTGGAGGGGTTTAATAGTTGTGTGTGGGTCAACTTGTCTCTTTTCTGTTGAATATTTATGCTATTTTCCAAATAAGTGCCAATAAATGGAAAAATAAATGTGTTTTGCTATTTCTGCACTTTTTTAGAGAGGTAACCATATTCTTATTTTGATCAGTGAATAAATGTTTTTCAATCAGAATATCTGTTGTAACCCAGTCTAGTTTGCTTTTAAGTTGGCCTTAAAATCTGCAGCAGACTTCCCTGTTTTCCTAGTACAATGCTGCCTTAAAGTTCTATGACAACCCTAGGAAAACTGAAGAATAAAAACAAACATTTTCAAAATACTTTAACAGCTAAACGTGTCCCTAGTTTATACCTAGAGGAAATCGTGGTGAAATAGTTTGAAAGATAGAAGCTACAGCTGGCTGGGGGACAGGACTGGGGCTCTTACTTCTTGGGAAGAATCTTTGTGATTTGCCTTAATAGAGCAATTAATGCTGTTGGGGAAGAGAGAGGTAGTTATATATCTGTAGTTGTTCCTTTCCCTGCTTTTGCAAAACAGAAATCACTTTGAACTTGTGGAAAAAGGCATCTCAGGTTTTTTTGTCTGCCCATGTCCTCAAGAAGCTGCAGTTTTGCGCCCTGGAGTCAGAGGACATGTATTAGGGTTTTTTTTTCCAGCTGAAATGAAATACTAGATTTTGGAATTAAATTATCCTGCAAAATATGTATCTGGATTCAGGGAATTAGGGTGTCATGCAGTGCGTGTAATCAACCCTGTACTCGCATAGTAACTCCTGTTAGTATTACCTCTATTTTACTAATTCCCCGTTTACTCACGAACAATGAATATTGAAGCTTTGCTTGATTAAGTGTCATGGTTACAGGACTATTGCGTATGACATTCCTTAACAGATATCTGAGTTTATAAGTGTCTGTGCCTTTGTCTTCCTCCAAGAAGAAACGGGCAACTTCCTTGTCTCAGGCCATTTTGGAAGTATTGCAATCATTTATATATAGATAGAGAGAGAAAAGTGTAATATATAAGTATGTATCCTATATAAACCTTTCTTATTCTGCAGCTCTTTGGGGGCATACAGCTGTTTCTCTCTGAAATTCTGTCACTCCTCTCCAATGGTGCCCTTTCGAAGTCATGCTGGTGATCGACACTTGATTGGCCTGGTTGAAAACTATCCCGAAGGATTTGTTGGCACTCAAATTGCGTCTCGAGCCAGCGTGTCTTCCGTGACAACTGATAGGTGTTTTTCTTCCTTCCACCTTCTCCAGAATGACATCGCTGCCGAGGGAACATTGATAACCACGCCAGTGCTCAGGGGGACTGTATTTTTGGAATGAGGGCTTCGGTGGTTGCTGCATTTAGCAGAGGAGTAGATACTTCACGCTAGAAGAGAGGTACAACTGCCAGGAAAAATGAGCCTGTGCATCAGCCAGATTAACTTGCTGGGGTCTTCTGTGTGTTGGCAGCAAGCCAGTTGATCTGAAAACTGAGCAGCTGCCCATGGTCCTCCAGAGATTAGTGTGAGAACTTAATCCTAAATTCGTTCTTTTCGCCTTTCTTCAGAAAACTTGAGTGTAAATGCTCACCAACCCGGACAAACAAAATGGGTCTCCAAAGTCTTGTATTGGTGAGACTTGAGATACTTTGATTTATAAAGGTGCATTGTGGTTCTGATACTAGTGCTGTGTTTGTGAATCCAGCCCTGCTATCGTGAGCTGGTTTGCCAGTGAAGTGACTAAAGGCAGGAGTGACCTCCGGAGCTCCATCAGCTAGCTTCCAGCTTGAGAACAGCTTGTGCATTTCTTAGCAGTAGTCGTTTCAGAAATGTTCACTTTATGCTGTTGTGTTCTTGCATATGTTGGAGTCATAACTCGTTTACTTAAAATAGAGAGCTTCAGGAGTCATAATTAAAATGTGTGAGCTCTTCATATCCTGTTCTAAGCAACCTTTCTCATCACCAACTGGCAGATGGAGTTTAACTTGATCCCTTTTCTCCTGGAACCACCAACTTAAAATATTTGTAAATGTAATTGAATGTTTACAGCTCGGTACAATAATTAAAACCTTACTGATCCAAAGAGGAGCACTTGGCTTGCAAGAGTCCTTTCCAATAGCTGGATGCAAAAATTGTCACCTCACATTTTTTTATTTGGCATCTATTTCCTAAGGATCTGTCTTGGATGGTTCTTTGTTTGTTTATTTTGCCTCTAACGGCAAAGTCTTCCCATTTCAGTGTATTTGGTACGAGCATCCTTCTTTGATAAACTTGAGACCAGATGGCAGCCAGCCTAAGTCTTGGTCAGAAGATGCCTTTCCTCTGGCACAGTGAACTCCAAGTAGGAAGCTTCCCTACATCTAAAAGACCCAGACTGTCCGTACGTGCTGGAAGGGAGAGATTGCTTCCCCTGGTGGGGTTTTGAAGTAGAAGCACGAGGAGGGGGGAAAAAAATAAACAACTGAAGGAGAATAACCTTGTTCGAGTTTCAGTAGCTGGCTGGGGAACAGAAGTTTCAGAGGGGGGAGGAGTTGGGTGCATTGAAACCAAACCCAAACACGGCCTCTTCATGCTGGCTCCCCTGTGTGTCTCAAGGAACTGGTGGTGAGATGTCCCCAATCCCATCAGGATTCCTCTGACAAATCTGGCATTTATGAAATGTGAAATTCTCCTGAGAGTTTAGTTTCTTCTTTTACTTACTTCGTAAGAGCCTTGGAAAATGCTCATTACTTAAGACTTCCTTCCATGATTAATTATGGCATGTAAACATTTAGAATTTTGCAGGATGTCAACTTAAGTAGGAAGAGCTGCTCAAGAAGGAGCGGTTTTTGCTGCAGGTACTAATCTTTGGAAATGTGGTTCTCGTGATTGCTTTTTCCCCTTGCACCATGATGTGCATATCGTGCACTGTTCTGTGACACAGAAATAGCGCACTGTGTTGTCTTTCAAGGCACCTTAAATCAATCTGTGTGGCACTAAATTGCTGCAAGAAACTTCCTGCTAAAAATAAACCAAGATCCTTTCTTTCTAAGTGCGTTCGCTTCAGCAGTCGGTTTTGATTTTGGAGATTCCTGGCAGATTCCTGAGGGAAAGGCGCTAATGGGTTCGGTGATGATGGAACACGGGATTCCAGAGCCTTACTGCACTTTTATTTATAAGTCTCGGTGGTGGTTTCTTGTTTCTCAAAGCATATGCTCATCTAATTCCTTGATGATTGTACTTCAAGCCACCTAGAGTATCTGCAGTCTCCTAGAGAAGAATGCTCTCACTTTGTTACTGTAAATTGTATTGTTAATTCCTTTTTTTTTAAAAAAAAACACTAAGCAAGGATTTAAGTTCCATTACAGACTCTTCGTTCTTTTATTCCAGGTCTTTGTGCTTTTCATCGGTCATCTTTGTTTCTTCGTGATACCTCTTGTTCTGCTAGGGTCGGGATGACCCCAGTTACGTGTGTCTGAATTGGTATTTCACAACAAAAGTATTAACAGGGAGCCTGTTACTCGGGCAGGCCTTCTGACCAGCCTTTTTCCTCGTAGTGAGGAGATCATCCATTGCTTCGATTGTGCTGCTGTAATCGTGGTTGTGCTCTCGCTTAAACTATTCCCTTGCAGAGTCTCTGCTGTTTCAAAGATCAGCGTGCATTACTTTGCCTCCATGTAATTCCACATTACAGTGTCAGTGTGTGGTTATAGAGCTTTGCAGATTTTCAGGAGCTGATAGGCATCAACTACAGTTCATTATCCAGGATAAACAGCTAGTTAGCGTACAGCAGAGAGCTTCTACAGAAGACACAGCCCAAAAAGTGAGTGTATCCCCTTACTTGGCTTTAGTAGTTTACGCTGTGAGTGGTGTCCGCCTGTGCCCGTTCCTCCAGTACTCATTTTTTGAGGATACACAGGTTCTCTAGACTCCTTTCATTTATACATTTGGGATCTTTAAACGGCTCTTGCTAGACTGTGTAGCAGCGGTTTCCCACTCTTCACTAGCTTCTGTGGAGCAGCACTAAGCAAGTGATACGCTGCTGGCAACAGCACGCTTCTCTCTCCTTCAGTGGTTTCAGTCTTAATTTAATTTCTTCAGGCAGCAAGCTATGCCTGCAGGGAAGGTAGGCTCCACAGCCAGCACCATTAACTTCAGATGTTTCTCCTCCAGCTCCGCAGAGAGGCGGCACCTTCTTCAGTGCTACCGTGAGGAGGCGAGAGCCGCTTCACAGGGACTAGAGGAGAGAACCTGTTTGTCTGCAGCCACGCAGCCCTACCTCTGCACGCAGCTAGGCAGGAGGATCAAATACCAGGATTACTCAGCCCTGCATGCTTTGTGTTGCAGTCTGTTCCCTTACTACTTCTTTTTTTGGCCAGGAGGGTCTTGTACAAGCTCGGAGGGTGAAGTAGCTGAGCTGCTCTGGCCCAAAAATGCAAACTTGCTCCTGGCAGAGGTGGTGATTTAAGGTTTGGGGGGTTTTTTAAGACCTCCTGTCCAGCTTGGTCCCTGAGTTTTGATGTTGCCCTGGATCACCACAGGCCCTATGAAGCATATATCACTTGGCACCTGAGAACTTTCTTTCCTGTAAACAACATGTTCCCCTCTCTGGTTTACTGGCTCAGGCAAGTTCCCTTCTGTAGTCTTGCCCTCACAGTGGGGTGGGTTGCCAATGCATGTAAGGCTGAAGTATGAGATTCATACTGCTGACAAAGGAAAGGGGTGATGGAACTTGGCATTTAGAAAGAAAGCTGTTACAAGGAAAGTCAGGTATCTTAAATATATGTTGACAAATGACTAAAATATGGTGATTTATTGCCAAACCTATTTGGCAGCTTCTTTCCAGTTTAGGCTTGTTGGTTATCAGGTATTTCGTACACATGAACATAAAATGAAATAACATACGATCAGCTTAGAGGATTCTTAGCTAGTTGATTCCAGGAAGGATTTCTCTGCTTTGCTGTTGAAGGCAGAGTTCTGTGCAAGGGCTTCTCTTGGAGGTGCTGCAAATGTCTCCTGTTCAAATAAGAGCAGTGACTTACCATCTGACAGCATGCTTGGTTATCTTCCTGGGGCCTGTTCTGAGAAATCAGTGGCAGCATTTCCCTTTGCAGGGACTGGGTCTGGTTCCGGGTGGTCTCCGTGTGAGGCTGCTCGACCCACTCTCCCACCTCGGGGGGCTCCATCAGCTCTGATCCTGGTGAAACGATGATCTGAACGCCCCGTCTGTCCCTGGAGCTCTGAAACAGTTACATTGGGTCTACTGCAGTTTTAAGCGTTCTGTGATTCACTCCTTTAGAGAAGAAAAGGGACGTCTGAGCACCTTCTGATCTAGACAAGTGCAAACGCCTTGAGGAGATCATGTACCAAGGCTACAGCTACTCGGAGTGACGCTCGTGAAAGTGAGCTCAGCGGCGCTCCCGTTTCCTGCCTGCCAGCGTTGCTTGTTGGAGATACCGGGGCCATTGCAAGTGCTGGGTAAACAAGATGATTGTTTCAGCTGGATGATCTTAAAGCCCTCGTAACTGTCTGCTGAAAATACTTTTCCATCTCAAGGAAATGACTGGTTTGTTTGTGTTCAGAGTCAGGAATGGGAAATGACGTGAATCACTTAACTGTTTTTCCCGGTGTTATTGAGAGGAGGCATATTGACTGTCTCAGGTCTTATTTCCAAAGGCATTCGGTGTTTTCCATAACCCTATTAAGTACTAGAGGTGTGTGCATGCATATATACGTATATATGCAGCAGAAAATATCTTACAAATCTTGCATATCCACCTGGTAAAATTTTACTAGTGTCTCCCCGTGACCATGCTGTAACATGACTTGATATATTCCACCTCACAGTGCTGAACAGAAACTGTCCTTGGGTCATCTTTTCCCAACACTGTAATAAATCTGTGATTATACAGCGTGCTGTAATCTCCTTGAGGTAGAAAAGTCAGAATTCACATTTCTCATGCTTATTTTGCCCAAGCACCAGTTTCACCTGGGTGCTTTTCATCTTTTTTTCTTATCTCTGTGCCGCTCCTCACCCTTGAAAAATGGTCCCTCGTTTTAGTCTCTTCAGTTGCTGATAACCTGCTGTTACGGACTTCTTTGGTCAAGGTGCTTTTCTAAACCAATCACTTCTCTTTAAAAATTCCTTGAAAACGAACGCTGGCACCCTCTTGTCCTGTGCCCTCACTGCCCGAGTCTGGTGGGTGCGCTGTCCTGCAGCACCGGGGCCCCTGCCCCTGGCGAGAGCCGTTACAGGGACTCGCTGTTCCTACACGTGGGCTTCTCGCTCTTCTGCAGGTGCCTGGAAAAACACCAGCCCAGCCCGTGACTGGAAGGCAGGGATTTGGAGGGGGAAAAAAAAAAAAAAAAAAAAAAAATGTTTTTGGGGGGGTTTTTTAATCGACTTGGGCACAATAAAATGTGTATCTTAGTACAGGCTAATGTACCACAGGGCAGCTTCAGCTCCCCAGCTGCTGTTCGACTCCCTCGCCCTTCCTCAAGGAGCAGGTTAAACCACCTCAGGAAGATCCGAATGAAGCGTGAGCACCGAGAGGAGGAGCCGTGCTGGGCTCTGGGGGACCCTCGGCGGGAAGCACTGCGCCTGCAGCGCCGCCTCCTCCCGCCCCCAAGTCACTGCTTTTTAATCAGCGTTAATGTTTGACTTTTCTTTATCTGACGCTGACAGATGACACAATCTCAGCTCTTCTGAGAATCAAACTAAAGTACCATTTTATTGCCCTTTAAAGCCTTACTGGTATTATATAGAAGAAAAAAATGTACAATGATTAACCACTTACATCCAACCTTTCTTTCTAGTTTTGGGGTTTGTGGGGGTTTTTTGTGTGGTTGGTTGGGTTTTTTTTAAGTAAGACTGTTAGCTGCATGGTTTCTTTGTACTTCCATGCATATGCAGAAAAGTGACCCATACCATGCAGGGCAAAAGGTGGCTTCACTTCCAAACTGGTTTTTATACACATCAGAGCATGTTCTGTAGATTTCTTAAACACAACAATTTGTGTGTATGAAGCGTGGTCTTGCAGTAGAAATATTTTTAAACTTAGCATCTTGACAATGAAATGTCAAATGAAGGGAAATACTCATAGGAAACAGGCTGAATGTTTAACTAGAATATAAAACTGGAATTTGAGCAGGAGTTTCTGATACAGAAACCCCCACCCCCCCATCTTAGCTGGGCTGGGGGAAGGGAAGGTGGAGAGGAATGCCTTTGTTGCTGTATTTAGTTTGGTCTCTGAAACATTAAAAATAGTGACTTCTGTATTTGTGTGCAGTGTGAGTTCAGGTTCCATTAATGCTGCTTAGTTCACATAGTGCATGCATCCCTAAGAAACGAACAGGTCCGATTACAGAACTTGGGTTTGTTGTCTACACTTGTGATACAAAGTGGCTGCTGCAGAAATTATTTCCCCAGATAAGAAAAGGAGCACTCAACCACAGAGCAGTATTGATGAAGTAAGGAATTTGAGAATTACTACTTCACCTAAAATTCATGGTTTATTTCATAGTTGCACTGATGGAATTTGTCATTTTCTTCAATGGTTAGTCATGACTCTCATCTTCTGGTATGTATACAGAAGTATTATGCAACAGCCTCAGCATGTACAACCACAAACCAAATGAACATTTTACATAAGACAGTTTGCTTTTATAGTGATCACGCACTGATGTGAACATAGACTAAAAATAACAAATGTTGCTTTAATAAGGATTTTTTACAGTAGGCGTAGATATAAAAGTTTTTCAAATTATTTTCACAGGTATCGCTGAACATTTCATAGCTGTCTGTTACAGAAGCACCGAAAAGTGCTTTGAGTCTTTCATTTATTATACATAGTTAAAATATATTACACTTCTGAAGGTATCTTAAATCACTGAACAGTTTTGCTAGCATCTTAATGAGCCAAATGGGAGTAAAAGGCAGTCCACATTCATGATGTGAATATACAGTAAGGTGTTTGACATCCTATTAACTCATTGCTCATGTTCTCAAAATAACCATGGTGATGAGACCTGAAAGACAAGAATTAAGAACTAAATGCTTTAATTTCACTGAATAAAACATTTAAAATAAAGAAAAAACAGTTCATCCTGTCACAGGCCAGAAACTAAGGTAAATAAACGCAGAATTAATTTATATATACACTTTAATTAACTATTAGAAGCATTGCTCCAAGTTTTGATGTAGCCAAAATAGGTATTAAAGCTGCCACTGAAGTGCAGTAGAGCTAGTAACTAATGTCACCACAGCTATAAATACTCCAAACAACTCCTGATCTCCCTACTGGAAAATCTCAACGTTGAGATTTTGACTTAAGGCCATGTAACACTAGCACACAAGCCCCCCGTTTTCATGGGGGCTAGTTAGGGGGAGCCTAAGTCAAATGCTGGATCATCAGTAAGGCCGAGGAGCTGAAGGCTCCAAGACATTTTTGTTTCTGCTCTGTGCAGAATTACTGATCAAAGACTAGTTTTAGACAAAGATGTTAAGCTTTCTTGTCAGTCTGTACAGGGAGCTTTCTACAGACTCTTTGTTGTGACCTTTAAAGAGGGAGGGAAAAAAAAAAAAAAGAACTGCTCTGATAGAGGTTAAAAACAATTAAAACCAGATGAAAGCAGGAAATGTGGGGCTAATAAGCCTGCTCATGACACGCTGAAAAGTTCACTTTAACTATGTGCTGAGACAGGAAAAATACAATCTTCAAGTTCTTAGCCATGAGTTATATTGCACAAGGTGAAGAGGCATATGAAAAAACATTAGGGCTCCTTGAATTCCAACCTTATGTAATGTCAAAACAGTAATTTATCAGCTCTTAGGCAATCTTACTTTCTTGCAAGCTCAGGTGATGTTAATAGAACAGCCTTTCAGGGCAGAGGCTTAGCTAAAGCCTACAGATCTCACCATGGATAAAGAAATTTCTGAGACTATTTTACTGTTCTGATTTACATACTGATTTCACTTATTTGCTTTATAAATATTTTGAAGGTAGAAGCATGGCAGAACAGAGCTGTAACGCCACCTTCCATTAGATAAGCAATTTATCCATTAAAGAGGAATTAACAGTTCAGCTATTTCTTAAGGTCTGTATTAGCTTAGGCAATCAGTACTACCACAGCTGCTCTAGGCCTTAGCTTGGATTATCTAAATCATCGCAGAGTAGGAACAGAGGCTTCTGGAAGGTGCTACAGGACAGCCTATACCACTTCTATAGGGGCTTTCAGGCACTAAGGGGTTTTAACTCATTTCTGTAAAGCAAATACTTCTCAAATGCTGGATAGCCCAATGGGTGCGGTAGTGGCCTCCCTTTTCTGTTAAATGCTGCACACTCCAGTTGTACATCGTGGTGGGAAAAAGTGGTTTAAGAGCAATCAATCAACTTTCTACATGAGCAAGAGGTGCACAGAGAAGAATCTTTTCATTAACACCACAAACGTTGCTACCAAAGGAATCAAAACCTGCAAGTATTTCATAGCGAATCTAGAAACAGATTTAGTTGTTGCAACTGTATGAAGTCAAATGGTTTAATACCACAGTTGGCACCATCAGAAACGGGAGTAACTTTCAAAACTAGAGATAAAAAAACCAAAGCAAGGATTACTGCAAGGTCCTGATCTGAAAATACATTGTCACTGGCTCAGGCAAAGAGCAACAAGTGAGTGTTCCAACTGTTTCAGCCGACTGACATGCCCGAGTGTGCGCATTAACCACCAACTTGCATCCTTCCCCACCACTACCTCACCTCTAGCTATCACTCTGAAGCTGCCTAGCTTGTTTCCCTCAAATCCTCATTTCTGCCAGGTAGCGGGACAGGAGAATTCGGTTTAGTGTGACTGTTGTTCAAATCTGAAACAGTTACAGAAAAATAGGCATAACAAAGGAAGTGTGCAACTTATCTATCCTTGCTAATTTAGGAGCAAGTTACAAACTGGGAAGAACCGTGGATGGTAGCGGTCTCCTGGGAAGGGCTTACAGCAACTTATTTCTGTGCATTTCAACTGCTTATACAGTTGGCCAGTCATCAAATGGAGGTGAAATGAACACGTAGGGGCCTCTATATAATAAATATCAACTTAAATCTGGTCTAAAGTACTTACACTAACTAACTTACCCTGATATCACTATGGCTGCAAGTTAAAAATAGGAGTGGGGATGCAAAACAAACTGTAATGTGGTGCTCTGTCTCCATCGGGTTTCCTGAAGCCACTAGCAAACACAGGAGAAGTTTCCCACCTCACAGAAGTCGCAAGAAAACATTTACAAAATGCAAAATACTCACCTAAAACATAAGCAGCTACTAACTTTTGATTCACACTTAAATGGAGGTAGAGAGGCACCAGGGATTCCATTTCCCCCAATGTAGGTAGCATTAGTGCTGCAATACACACTATTCCTAGGAAGACTGTTAGTAAACTAGGTCCCGACGAGGCAGTTCTGTTTTCTGAAAAACAAGATAGTACCAGCTGTAAGGAACATTTAACCAAGATAAGTGTTAAATATCCTGCAAAAAAAACGTTTGCAGTACCTTGGAGCTGGCGATACCCTGAGATACTCTTTTCCCTTTGGCGTTCCGAGGGGGGTGGAAAACAACTCAAACCCCCCCCTTCTAAACCTCCTGCACTCTGCAGTGGGGAAGGCTGCTCCCTGGTCTGACGCCGGTGCTTGTTTTCACACGACTCCCCAGACCGCTCCCTCCTGCGGGAGCGGAGCCTGCCAGGCCCGGTAGCTCTATATACACACTCATGCCAGATGCTCGAGGTTTCAGCGTGCCTCCTGCCTCCCCTCCCTGACGTGTTCCCTCAGCGGTCAGTAATCCGTTTGGGAAGAACACCTACAAGGGCTGTGCAGGCAGCTACCTGCTTACACCTCCTGAACAGAACTTGGCCGCAGCAAGAGCACAGGGTCTGGGGCCAGATGAGCTCCCCTGCCTTCTGGAGAGGATTCAAGGGCTGCAACTGCCAGAACCAGTTTATCTGCCACAGATTAGTAACATTGGAATCTTTAAAAACTCGGGAGAGTGAACCACTGTGACAGTCCAATATCACCAGACTAAAGAAATACAAACTATAGAGGGAACTGTCCTTCGTACTCCTTATTGTGCTGCAGTTTAACGGCTGGAAACTCCTCCAGACACACTGGGTAGTCTCTGAAAAGAGCTGTGAACATGTTAGTTGAATACCTCGAACCAAATTCTTAAGACCCACTGGAAATTAGCCAATGTTTTTATCAAGTTTTTCTATCCTCAGTGAGTAGCAATATGTGTCCTATTTTAACTCCAAAAATCTGTTATTTCTAGGTTGCAGGTTACATGCAAAGACTGTAGTTGCTTTGTTTACTGATTTTCTGTAAGCAAGCAAAACATTGTAGTCAATGAGGTTTTTAAGCAGAGAAATAGCATTTGGATTAAGACCAGTATCAGATTGTTCAGGCTGGTTCCAACCCTCTGTACTAGAACAACAGTTCATAGTAATAATTGGTTGTGTGAGCCCAGAGATCTTGTAGGTTTGCTTTAACCATGTATCCTACTAATACCTATATCTTAAGGGTTTTTTTTAGTAAAAGGTGTTTTACCAGCCAACAAACTATGTATAAATAGTGAAACAGTTTGGTTTTAACGAGAAGAACACTCTCAGGCAGGTGGTTCTATTTTCTGGAACTGATTTTTGTTCTCTTCATGAAAAATAAAACAGTGACAAGAATATTATGATATAAATCAGTAAAAGTAACAAGAAGGTAAGACTGTCATGTCAAGAATCAGTTTAGATTCAGTTGTGGTAAAACCTGATACTTTTTGTATCTCCCCCTACCGCTTCAATTTAACTGTTCAGTCCAGGTTTTGCCCAAGACTCTTGATTCGCTTCATCACGTATGAAACGTGCAAAGGGTTTTCAGCTAGCAGCTGTGCTTTTCTGTACTTGTGAGACAAAGGAGATGGCACAGAACAAGGAGCACTTTAGAAGATGTTTTGGCAATATTTCCTGCTCATCAGGAAATGGAGGATTAAGGGTTTAGAACAAACTCAGACAGGGCATATGTTCTGAAAGAGCCCAAGGGGAAAAAAATAGCTACCATCCTTTTGCAGATAAATTCCCACTGGCTGTAACAGAACTTCTGCACCAGAGGAACAGAGGACGTACTCTCTGAGGTCTGACACGCAAATGTGGGGCAGCAAAGGGTCTTGGTTAACCAAGAGAGCATGAGCAGAATAGCCATAGTTTGTGTTCTTGGGCACTATCATCCCCTAGTGATAAAGACAGCAGTCCTACAGGTAAGTAAAAAGAATTATTTTAGATTTATTTTAATCTAGTCTTTCTAGTCACTTGAGCTATTCATAACTGATTCAGGAGACAGTTGGGGTAAAAGATTTCAGCTACCTGGTTGACACAAAGTCTGTTCAAAAAAGACACTTTCAGCCAGGTGTTCTTTTATTCGTTTTTCCTCCTCTTCCTTTTGTTGTTGCTGTTCCTTTGCAGATGGAAGGAGAGTAGCAATAATCTCCTTCTTCCCTAATGCTTTCCTCTGGCTCTGCTCAGACACTTGCAGACGGAATTTATCTATCACACCATAGTAAGAAGCCCGAACATCTCTGTGACGAATCACACTGCAGAGGAAAACAACATTTTCAAATAGAGGAACTCGTAAGAAGCACATTTCCTGTGGAATTACATCCTGCATCCCCCTGTTTCCCCTCTTCCCCCCCCACCACAGACACACTGCGTTAGTCCAGATCCCCATTACCTCCTCCATCACTCAACGTTCTGAAGATTTGATCTGGCCTTCTCTCTCCCCTCCTTATGTTCACTCTGGTTCCCAAATATACATGCTCCAATTGGCTGACCAAAAAGAACAGTTAATTCTTTATCTCAAGCACACCTTTGCCTCAATCTGAGGCCTAGCTGCCAATGTGCACAAAACATCAATTATCTGAAAGATGCCGCCTCCTTTATCAAAGCTGCCTGATGCCAGCCAATGATTTTAAAAGGTATGGGGGGACTGGAGCAGACAGGGGAGGAAAGAAGAAAAGCAGGACTGCTAACCACTCGGCCGGGTGATGGCAAAAGTCTAGCTTTTTGAGGAAATGAGGCTCAAAGCTTTACAATCACCCTTTCTCAGAAGCAAAACTCATCCCCTCTACAGAACAGCCAGCTAGAGGTAAAGGGATTTTCAAAATCATTAAGAGCATGTAACAGTGCAGCAAAAACGACAGCTACATATCTCCATAAACATTTCTCACCCGTCTTTCAGTCATTAAATCTGGGTATCTATAGCAGAGCTCTGGGCTGTCAGAGCATTGCTCCTCCATCTAGCTACCCTGAGCACCTTTCAGAGCTGGCGTCGAAACGTATGATGCTGCAGATCCTTCACTAGCCACCAAGAGCTATGCTGGGTGTAGCTACACAAGCTCCAATCCCAGCTCAAGACTGCAGTGTAGACGTATTCTCTGAGATATAGCTCGAGAGTCAGTTATTTTCTGGGTAAACCTGCTCATTGTCCAGCAGCCACTCTGTTGCTCTACTGTTTTGAACATGTCGCCCAAGATGGCTTAAACAGTAAGACAGAGGGATAGTTGTTGCATTCCTTTTGGTTTTACAGCATCTCATGGGAGGAACTGCATGCGTGACCTACAAAAGGCAGAGTTTTTAAAATGCCACTGATCAAAGGCAATACAGACCCCTCCGAGCAGTGCTCTGCTCAGCTGCCTCCTCCCTGCATTTATGATTCATTATGAAAATACGTATCCAGCATTAAAAAGCTGTAACATTTAGGTTTTGAAGTCATATCAGCTCTTAGGGTTAATATGGATTTTAATTATTTTTCCAAAGTGGAGAACTTTTTTTGTGAAAGGCTATTCTAAATGTCTAAGATAACAACAGCTAATCTGAAAAAATACCTACATATAAGTGATTTGGCTTCAAGAAGGTTGCCGTCGCCTGAGGGGAAAAAAGTGATTCTACCCTTAGTAATACAGGATAGCAGCCTTAAAACTGCGTCAAGAAAGCCATCTTTGTGATAATATATACATTAAAATGCTGCAAGAAACTGATGTCGGTGTTTCAGTCTTCACTTAAAGAAACTATGTCACATCAAGATATCTACGATCATTAACACACAGCCAGTAACTGGTATCTAGTTTGAATAGACTATTCAACAAGGAAACAGAAACTAAGTCATCCCCCGAGCGAGAAGGCTGCAGGAATGTATGTACTATTACATCACTTCAGCGGCAAAGGAGCACGCTTATGACAGACTTTCAGCAAGCTGAGCGTTGGCTGGGCAACTGCCTTCACTAAAACAAAAGGCTTCCCCCCCCCATCCTAATTCATACAACTCTCAGCATATCAGAACAGCAGATTCAACTTTTATTTCTTCCTTCAACACTTCCTTTTACATTTTTGTTTCTACTCTTAGTACCGTGGTACTAACTACCAACCTAAAACAGAATCTTTACATAACACTGTGCTAGGAGAACACACATCTGCTGCCAAGCAAAGAGATATTTTCTGCAGACCCTTATAAACAGATACATTCTCCTGTTTCTTTTTAGAGGCCATTGCATAATTGGAAGCTCTGTAGAATATCTGTTTATCTGGCAAATGGCCATACTTGCATAGTACTGCTCATATCCTAGCAGTAAACACTGCCCTTAGACAGCAACCATTGGAATGGGATGGGGGTTTTGCTGCACAAAAAATTCCCTTGGAAACATGCCTAGGTCTTATTTTCCTTTATTTAATAAAAGACATTTGTTTAAGATTAGCCAAATGTAATCAAGCTTGTATAAATGTCTGCTAAAAACTGGAACAGCTCACTGATACACTGGTATATTCTGACCTGTTTTGTTCCATTTTTAGGATTGTTGCCCCTGCCCACTGAAACTTTTTAGTTCCATGTTTTAAACTTCCTTTCTATTTGGTGAGTCCTTGGAATTTTCCAAATTACACCTGACGGAAACAGTCTACAGGAAGGAGTCATCCCCCAAGCACTGTATTATTTATCTGACAAAAGACAAACCATTCAATAGCAGAGTTTTCTGTATACAGCCACTCATTAGCCAGAGATTCCAGGTGTTTTACAGCCTGCAAATTTCTACTCAGAAAGCTCAGTCTGCTCTTTTAGGTACTTCATACTTTCTTTAGCTGTATCTGTACATCAGCACAGAAATAATGTGGCAAGTGGAAGATTAAGAAAGTTGGTCCGTTTTAGCTTATATACCTACTCTACTTTGAATTCTAGCAGCCTACAGACCCTATACATTATTGTGGTCACGTAACCAACCTTCTTATCTTCTCTGTTATTGGGCTGGGACCTGACAGGAGAAACAAGTAAAGGGAAGACAGAGAGATCTGAGAACAAGAGAGGCGGTCGGGGTTAAAGGTAGGCAAAAGTACCTTTATTAAACACAGCCCAGGAAATGTGCTCAGCAGAACTGCATACATTTTCCTTTTGCCAATCTGCAAACAAATATTCCTCACAAAGAAATCCCAACCCTGCTTTTCTTGCTATTTCTAACAAAAAAGTACTTAGAGGAGGCTCATATTAATTTCACTGCTGGTATACAAACTATACTACAGGATGCATTTACTAGCATTGTATTTATGTCTACAGACAAAATTAAAGAAGGAAGTATCTCCAATATTCCAATACCTCTGTCCTAGAGTGAAAGAACAGGAAGGACCGAACAGCCACAAGAATATAGGAGATTAAGAAAATATTGTACCTTTATACAACTTAGTTTATACTATGCATGCTGTCATTTACTACCTCTTAAATAATAAAAGAAATTAAGATAATCAAATGCTGTACATTGGAAAAAAACAAAAAACAAAACAAAACCCACCAACTTTTACTTACATATCAACACAGCACTGAGGCTTCACTGCACCAGTAGCATCAACCACCGCATATTTATTTGGAGTTGTACAAAGAACTGCAACAAAAAGGACAGTAGTGGTAACAAATCAAGAATTAATACCTCACCAGCTTCATCAACAAACATACGTAAAGACACGAGTTCGGTTTTGTCACAAATATGGTTTGTTACACAAATTATAATTGGACTGTTCAAGATCACCAACTAACCCTTAAATAGAACTTAACCTAAGAAACCCACCTTTGAATTTTAAGGCAAACTCATAGGGGTTATATAGAGTCAACACCTGCTTGTGTGTTGACTGGTCATCTGCATAAAATATAAGTTCTGTAGGAAAAACAAAAACAGGAAGATTTCCTTCCACTAACTCTGGCTGTCTTTTTTGTTGCTGCATTGGCACTGAATCCTCCTTGCTGCTTCTTGCGTTCTTATGATTTTGTATCCTCAGAGACTTCAGTTTTTGAATCGTTTAAGAATTCCAAAGCATTTTGGCAATTCTAAAGGAAAAAAGGGGAAGAAAAAGAGAGAAGGCAAGAAGATTATTTCCATAAGTCTATACTAAACTGAGGCAGTCAACAAAGGTGTAAAAATGTAAAATGTGATGCTTGGTTATGATTCTAACTTTACTTAAGTTCCTTCAAAAATATGGAAATAGAAAAAATATCAGCATTGGGTTTCCATCTATTTAACAAGCTGCTATAAAAGAAACGGATAAGCACGTCTTCAGTGTACCATGGCAGCATTCTGGGGTCCCAGTCCATGTCTAGTGTTGCTTATGCTGGGTCTTTGCAACACAAACCAAACAACAACAACAAAAAGATATCCCGTCCTCGTCTCAGGACGCTAACACTTGAGAAAAAAACAGAGCAGAAATGAGGAAACACAAAGATGTAAGGCAGCAGTAGTCACCATTCAGGCAGGAATCTCTCTGCAGTGGTGACCCTCCCGGATGAGGTGTAATAACTTAGGTATCTGCTCACACAGGCACTGAGGTATGCCAAATCCCAGAGATTCAGAACAAAAGAATGGGGAACACCTTCACGTCTTGTTTAAACTAAACTCGTTACAATTGCATGGTAGTTTCAGGCAATGAATTGAAAATAACTGGGATGAATAATACCAAACAGATTTGGGATTTACTATTTGATTAAAAAATAGGACAGCTTTTCTACCACCACTGTGTTTAACCAAAGTATAACCATCATAGTTCTCCCACTGCCACCCCCAGAGTTTTATTTTGAGTGACGTTCCAGAACTAAAACCAGAACCCATGACCCGACCAAGCAACAATCCCAAGTGTAATTAATAAAATAAAATTAAGGCCAGACTCCTCAGCACACATACTATTGACTTTACACACTACAGACAGAACAAAGTGAAACAGCTACAGAAATTCCGCCCCCCCCACAAGAACGTCATATTTTGCTGTAGCTCCTATAGGTTAATTATCAAACTGAAGGTGTCCTTTGAGGCTTCACTTTATGGTAGAAAACACTAAAAGAACAAAAAGTTCCTACAGACTCATTAGCTGTCATTTCCACTTCCAGTGAAGCTTTATAAAACAAGGTCCATTTCAGCTGTTCTCCAGTCTAATAAAGTGATTTCGTTGCACCTTAAGAAATCTGGTTTCTGAACTTTCTAGTAGTGAACAGCCCTAGCATATGAACAATCAAAAGCAAATGCTTATTTTTGCACTCTAAACATCATGATGTTCGCATTTCCAAGCGCCAGATGCATTTCATGCTTGAAACATGACACAAGTTTAGGTGTTTACTGGAGTATATCTGTCATATCTTCAGATTTACAGGTTCTGATTCTTATTCACAAACTAAGCTTTTAAATGTATTACTTTTTTTTTTTTTTTTTAATAGCAAATCATCCCCGTAGAATTTAAAGTCATGGCTCTTACTGGAATGTCTTTCCCCAAGATCCAGTTTCTTTTCAGAGCACAGGTTTGTTTCCACTTCACTGAAACGCTACTAATAATATTCTGAAAACAAATCCCCAATGATAGTGTTCCAAGTTGTGTTCTGCTACCTTATTAAGAAGAGTCTAGAAAAAGAAATAGCTCTGTAAGTGGCAATTTGGGTTCCAAGTACTTAGAATTTTGGTGAATCCCTTTTGTTTCAGAAGAATTAACAAACTCTGGAATCACTCTGTGCAGCAAGCGTAAACATTATTTCTTGAACAACTTTATGTACTATTGAAAAGTCAGATTCATTGTTCCATTCAAATATATTAAAACTATATGAAGAGCTAATGTGGAAAAACTCAGCTCATAGGAATACAAAATAACTTCTTCTGAAACTTCCCATATGCAGAATATTAAGAATTTTTAATTTTTTATTTTTTTTTTTACAAAAGTTAACTCGATGCAGTACGCAGTAAGCATATGTGAGAATCTGTGGTTCTCACACATACCTATACTGCATACATTATGCATAACAGAAATATAGGCAATCTTTGAAATTAACAAGAGGGGTTTTTTCCTAATAAATGTTTTAAACTACCGTACCACCAATAGCAAACTACTGCTAGATATTTTAAAGTTATTATGTTCAAGAACACTTTAAAAATATTATTTATAATCATGAATATTATTTTGATGCTTTAGGTTTTTATTTAAACACTGCACGTGTTTCATTCTGATTCCTGGCATCATACCACAACTCCAGTTTCTTCAGCTCAGACAGCGACAACTGTTTAGGTGTCCGAAAACCCACAAATCACAGTATCAGTGGAGGTATGGATCACTAAGCCTATTAACAGGCTCGTTTTTCTTACACATCGATTGAAAACACAGTGCGCAAACCTTCCAGGATTCCACAACTTGCAGGCAGAAAGCCACCAATCTTAAAAAAAATACATCCCGTTATTGCTTCCTTATTTAATTTGGCTGGCTAAAAAGTTACTGCTCAAACTGGCAAAAGTAAAATCTGGCAAACCCAGGCCTATAGTAGACACGTTTGCTGATACAACAGTGTCATTCAGGATGTGAGTTTCTGGATTTCTAAGCAAGCAACCAGCATCCTTTTTGAGAAAATCATTTTGGATTAGAAGTCACCTTGCTGGGACAGCTCACCAAGTAAAAGCGCTTTTCCCAGAGACTGCATTATAAACTCTACATATGCCAGGAAGATTTGGCTGTTCACCATTAATAGCAGCATACCTTTCACCCAGCACTCAGAAACTGCAGAGACTTTTAGAGAGAAAGCCCGTATCATCAGAACTTCTCTGCACGGATTAACCCCGAAGCAGCACCCGTGTTCAGAACAAGGCTACGCAGCTGCAGCACCCCAGCCAGTTCATTTAAAAGACACTCGGCTGCCGCCCTCCCACACCGCGCGCGGCAGAGCCTCGCCACCATCGCTACATCTGCTGGCCAACACTCACCACGGTTACTTGCAGAGCATAAAGGTAAGCAGCAACCAACCCGGACAAAACGGAGGCCTGGGGTCTCAATTCTGTGACCTACGCTGGGCAGACAGGCTTCTCTCCGCAATTCCCCGCAGGCGCGGGAATCCCGCAAACGCAGCGCTCGTTACCGGACACGGGCCAAAGTGTAACACCTGAACGATGCCAGCTTGCTTTCCAACCCTCTTTGAAGTTCAGACCAACAATTGCCACTGATTTTATTTATTAATTTTTTTTTTTTTTTAGCACAATAAGGATCTTTCCTCCCTGGAGTTACTAAATATGTACTGCTGGTGTCACAACAGCGCAGATCTGCCAGCGTTTCCTCTGAAATCTCTTTCTTCATAAATTTAACTCGACAGAGAAAAACACCAAGTGAAACATAACTTCTCTCTAGGCTTGGGAATAATGCCGATTGTGATTTGGTTTTACCTAACAAGTATCTGCTGAAAAAATAAATCAAGTGAGGAAGTTTTTTGTTCTCATTTTAACTTCCCACAGCCTCATCACTATGGCTTCCAAGTGCATTTGCTGGTTGTTTTTTTTCTTAACAACCACAAATAACTCTACAGAATGTCATCTGGTAAACACTTTATTCAGATCACCTCTTTACAGTCATAGTCTCCACATTCTCATTTTAAAAACTTAATTAGTGTAATCTATTTTTGTAGTATCCCATTATCTACCCTCTAAATCTATACAATAAACCTTCCTACACTATATACCCAATAAAACTGATGCCTTTTGAGCACATATTTACAGAATTAGCCACAAAGTCTTCTTCAAAATTCCCTCCCATGTCAAGCTGAGCAATTAAACTACACGTAAACGCAGCATACAATCTGAGGCAAGTCTATTAACATTTCGTTTCTCCAAAAGTTTTTGCAGGCCTTAACACACGCTTACGCAACCCAGTGTTTAAACTACCTGCAATTATTTGGGAGAGTCACCCAGTGATTAGAGCAGAGGCCCAGCAGCCAGGATGGCTGGATTCCATTATTGCTAACTCTGTCACTGACACTCCGTGACCTTGAGCAAGTTGGTTAACCTCACCTCAATTTGCTAATCTATGAAGGCACATATTCTGCAAAGCATTTAAGTGGGCAGATAGTCACATTTAAACTGGCAGAACTACTCGGCAAAGCCTGGGCTGAAATATGCTATTGTTTACCTCTTCACAGGGTGATGAGAAGTTTAATTAGTAACTGTCTCCAGGATGCTGTAAAATGAAATAGTCTCAGAATGTTACGTATTAGCATGGATGACTACAACATATATAAATCATGCTGAGACTGATAGCAATTTAATAGATTTAAATATATGCAAATAACTTTACTTTTGCAAATGCTGAGAAGGTGACTGTAACCCAAAAATATATTTAAATGCAACTAAGAGATGTGCCAAAGCAGGGAAAAAATGAAATAACAGCTGGGCATTGCTTCTGATCCATTCTACTGTATGGCACACAGGAATCCTGTGGAAGAGTTTCAAGGGCACATCTGCTTTAGTCTCTATTTTCTCACATTCGGGTCGTGTTTAATGCCCTAAAGCGGCTGTTTTTTAAACGTGTACGGTGCTCCTTAGCGCTGCGTGGCCTTTCCCCCTGCCCCAGACCAGGTTCAAACCCTCAGCTCAAATGCCGAGACGCCACCCGTTAACCGAGGGACGCTCTTCCCTCGGAGACCGACGGGGAGAAAGGCGTTCCGGTGCGACTCTGGGAGCGCACGGCAATCATTGCCCGCACTTAACCGATCCTCTTTGTTCTCCCACAGCGAGCAGCCGAGATAAAGGCGGAGGCATCTGCGCCCTCACGGCCTCCCCCGGCCCGCGGCGCGGCCCGCCCCGCTCCCCCGCCGGCAGCCCTCGCCCCCGCGGGGACAGCGCGGCCCCGGCCCGCGGGGGAAGCGGGGCCGGGCCGGCCGCCGCTCCCCCTCACCGCCCCGCCAGCGCTCCCGCCCGGAGGGGAAGCGCAGCCCACCCCGGCCCGGCCGACCCCCGCCCCGGTTCCCGGCCCGGAGACTCACCCCGCCCGGGGCCGCTGGGTGCGGGCTGGCGCGGCGCCCCCTTTGTCCGCCCCCCCCCCCCCGCCCCGCGCCGCCTGCGCCGGCCGCTGCAGGTAGCGTCGTCGCTATGGCCGCCGGGACGGCCGCGCGTCACGGCGTCCCGCCCACCGCCCGCCCCCGCCCGCCGCCATCTCAGCGCCGAGCCGCGGCCGGGGGCCGCCTCTTCCCGCTGCAGGGACCGGGGGGCCGCAGCCTCCCGCCTCTCCCCCCCCCGCTGCAGGGACCGGGGCTCTCCCGTCTCCCCACGCTGCAGGGACCGGGGCTCTCCCGCCTCCCCACGTTGCAGGGACCGGGGCTCCCGGGGCGCCTGTGGGGAGGCGGTGAGGGGCGCCGCCGGCCCGCGCTCCCCACACAGCAAAACGAGAGGCAGCTCTACCCCCCCCCCCCCCCCACCCCACACACACACACTACGGGAAGTTGGGGTTTTTAAGAACATTTTTCCCTCATCTAACGAGTTGTGAGGGCTGAGCCCTTCCCGGAAGGGTTCGCGGCCCCTCGCGTGGCTCTCTGTGCTGTTGACCTTGGGGCCGCTGTGTTTCACGGCGTGAGGGCTCCCGGAGCTCCCCCGGTTCCCGGAGCTCCCCCGGTTCCCGGAGCTCCCCCGGCCCCGGTTCCCGGAGCTCCCCCGGTTCCCGGAGCTCCCCCGGTTCCCGGAGCTCCCCCGGTTCCCGGAGCGGCCCCGGCCCCCGGCGGGATCGGTCCCACCCGCGCTGCCGGCGGAACGAGGCTGGTGACCAGTGGAAGGTTCACTCGCGGTCCTCACGGTACAGCAGATCGCTCGAAAGGGGCGTGTTGTCTCTAAACTTGCTGTTACCGCTCGAACCTACTCCTCTTACTAATATGTTTTTAACAAATTAAACCGCTTCTGGACTTCAGCTCCCTTTATGCGGTATCCTCTATCGTATGTCTTCGGGTTTTTTTCACGACTTGGGCTTTTAAGCCCTGTATAATAATAAAAACACAGCAGTGTAATTACCGCCTAAGATCATCCCCAACTTGGAGATTATTAATGCAGCAAAATATTTTTGTTGCGAGTCAGGTGACTAATTAAGATTTACATTAAGCCATCCAGTCAACAGGATTGCAAAATCTGCTACCCATTACCACTGGTGAAACAAACACACATCTCTGGTGGAAAAAAAACACAGCAGCCACTAGTATTTCACACTAAAATCATGAAACAATCCAGGACAGGAAGTAACATATTTTGTCCATTTAAAATCATGGAAGACATTAAATAAAAATAAATCAATTTTGCTATTTACCCAAGACGTGTGTGTTAGCACTCACCTTTTTCCAAATACTACCTTCTGCAGGTCTAGTAGTTGCTAGTAGTTCGTTAACAGTTTCAGTCTTGCAGCCGCAAATTACATAATGTTACAGTTAAATTATTATATATAGAAATGATAATCTTGTCAGAACTCCTGAAAATGTATGCAGTGAAAACTAGTAAAATATTTTGTTTCTTGACAAGTGTCAGCTCACAGAGTTTAACATTTATGTTTAAAAATAAACTGGAATTCTTGTTTTTAATCAGAATATCAGACTTAAGCCTTCAGGATACATTCAGAAAATTGTTATGTTTTTACTATTAATCAAATGCAGGGTGTTCTTAATTTTGGAAACCAGTCTCAAGCAGCAGACATAAACATGCTTCAGAGATATTCAAATTGACAACAAACAGAATGATCAAGTTAGAAAAAAACAAAATGGCTAGACTTAGAAGCACATTCATTAGCCAAGTTGGTATTTTCCAGTTCGTCCATCTCGTTTACAAAGAAAGTTCAGAATCTCTAAAAGCAGGCTTTAGGTCTCCCTTTGTAAGTTTCTCAGGATTCAGCTTCATTTTTTTTATCAATCACGCACTTAATATCGTTTGCATCCACTGGCCACCTGTTGAAAATCAGAAATTGCACTGCTCTCCTTCCACCCACCTATCGCTGCAGCTTGTTTCTAGGTTATTTTGTTATTTTAACAGCCCTGTGTTAACTCCAATTAAATGTGAAAGCTATTGTATGCATGCAAGTAGGAGTCAGGGTTCTGCTGTCCTTGTTGCCAGTGCCCGATGCTTCAGAGAGCACAAACCCCGCATCGCTGACAATTGTGCAATATTGCGCCCTTGAGAGGTATTATGCCCCATCCCAGACATTACTAAAGGCACATACGTGCCGTCACTATTTAACCAGCACTGACATACGCAAAAATATTACAGAGCTGCCCGATAAACTCACCAGTGCTGAGCTTTTTGGGTTTGGGGTGTGCACAAAGCCTGGCTTGGCACAGTCCTACTGCTCTTCTCGCTGCCTTGCCAGCAAGGCTCAGTGCGTTAGGCGGATGAAAAAATTATTGAGAGGATGTATACGAGTGTGCCCACGTGCCACGTACTGTGGGTAGACTGCTAATCTGCGATGTGGGAGATGGAGACTACTGTCACGTGTGGCAGTAACTAGAATTATCTCAGATCTGTGGGAAGTTCTCTCCTTTATTATTAGGTTATTGTTTCTTTCACTTTCTCCTGTTCGGGCTACTTTATTTTGTCTGAATAATTAATTATTTCTGGCATCAGAGGCAGACTGACGTTGCAGTCCTTGTTATGATACTGGTAGATGAGAGGAAAAAATGTGGATGAAGGAGTAGTCAGAAATACAGATGCGAAGGAGTAGGGACATAAGATGCAGTAGAGAAGCTGCGACGAGTTTTTCAGGTCACATTAAGTGTGATCTGAGGTGTAAAAAAAAAATCTGTTCCTGTAGCTTATGTTTGCTCTTCTGATTGTTTATCTACCTTAGAAACCACAGCGAGTTACCTAAAAGCACTGGCCAGTCTTCTGTTACATAAAATATTGCCTCCTTGCAGCACGAAACCTGAGACCAGAGTCTGCAGATACGGAATGCTCCTGAATGACTCTGTCGTGGTTTTGGTTGCTGTGGTGATTATCCATCTGTTTAAATACTTTATATGGGAGATTCTCAACTCATTTATCACGGAGGAGATTTTCTTAAGTTGTGAGAAACACAGCATTATGCCCGATTCCTGTAATTTTCATACCCGCTCAGCAAAAAATTCCACTTTATCTGCCACGGCCTGGGGCCACTGTGTAGTGTTTAGGTACAGAGGGTATGGCACTCGGGTTCTGTGTTCACCGCTAGCCCAGTACGCCTGTGACACCAGCACGTGTGTTACAGTGGTGGAGCTGGAGAGGCTGACTGCAAACACTTTATGAGGAGGCCTCCTTTATTGAATCCTCAGCCTGAAGCAGTTACACAAAATCAACTGTGTTTTTGCAAAGTCTGATAAGAAGAGAACTAGCGTGCAGATTGGAGAGAGCGAAACATTTTATGTATCCGAGTCTTACCTATAGCTCTTTATGCATTCAATTCTTAAGAGTGAATATTCTTAATGTGATGCTTTGTTTTTCTTTGCAGTTGCCTTCTCCATGGCACAACACGGCAGATCCTCTTTGACTTTGAAGTAACTCAGGAAATGAAGTCACGTATCTGCGTTTCCATTCACACCCGTGTTGTGTTGTTTTTATCTTGTCTTTCTGTGGAAAATGATTCAAGTTTTCTTTCTAATTAATACCAATATATTAAAAAGTCTTCATAAAATATCTTTTTTTCACTTTAAGGGACCATCAAAGGAAAGAAAACGCAGCATTCAAACTACCACCTTAAAGCAGCGTATATGTTCTGACTTATAACAGAAGCCAGAATTGCTCAACCTAAACTGTCCAAGCTGTTCTTGTAACTTTAATTTACCAGTAAAAGTTGTTTTGGTTTGGTTTTTTTTTTTTTTTTTTTGACGTGCTCATGTGGCAGCTTTTCAAATTTCCACCCCCCTGTGGCAGCGTGCTGTATTCCCATTTCACGTCGCTAGGGACTTAAACGTACTAGCGTGTATTTTTTTGTGTCAGAGGTTAGACTGTTTGTTTTTATGACTAATAATGTGGACCTTGGGAGCCACATATCTAAGCACCGTTGAGGAAATATCTAGACCTCTGTTAAAGTGTAATCCCTTTCAGGGCATGCCTATACAGGAGAGTAAAGACAGCTCGCAGCTCTCTCTGCCCATGCTCTGCACTGGCTGGAGGCTAGCCGGTTCCACCTTGGAAGTCCTTTTGCTCAGCTCTCTGCCCGTGCTAATGGTCCCTGAGGTGTGCCTGTGGACACGGTGAGCACAGCATGCCAGAGAGCCGTATTTGCTGCAGAACAGATAAAAGGATGTGAGGAAAATACAGCCTAAAGCGTAGCTGTCTTTAAAATACTGTATGTAAGCAAGGGCAGGTTTCATGCATGCTCTCTCT